CACACACACACACCTACCTTTGTACCGGCTGTGTTAGCTTCCTCTCTCGTCTTGGCAGTAAAAGGGGATAAATGTACATTTCCCTTTTGTAACCTCCGTCTTTTCATTTCTGATGCTGACTCTTGAATATCCTCAGGTTAGAAATGCCGATTACAAATGTGAGTGTGAGCTTTTATAGCTAAGTTTTTCCTTTATAGCTATGATCCACAGCTGTCGCCTTTCCTCCTCATCTAAAGGAAAAAGGAGAAAAACTAACTACTCGATCATATCTGCTGGTGAGTTGACACAACAACACAACAGAGCTCACGTTTTATACCAGTAGCTCACAGATGCTTTAACTTTTGTGACTTTTTCACGGACTAGTACTAGCAGCTAACGCTAAAAACAAAGGCAGTAACCAGGAAGTGGAAGGGAGGAGCGGGGCTGGAATTCTACCGGAAATGCGTCATTAATGACCGTGGCATATAGGCTGTTGGACCCTCTGCAGTTTGCCTACAGAGCCAACAGGTCTGTAGATGATACCATAAACCTGGCTCTCCACTACATCCTGCAGCATTTGGATTCACCAGGAACCTACGCCAGGATCCTGTTTGTGGACGTCAGCTCTACATTCAACACCATCCTTCATGCTCTTCTCCAGGACAAGCTCTCTTCGCTCAACGTGCCTGACTCCACCTGCAGGTGGATCACAGATTTCCTGACACACCGGAGTCAACGAGTGTGGCTGGGGAAAGTTGTCTCGGACACACAAACTATAACACAGGATCTCCACAGAGCTGTGTTCTCTCCCCTCTGCTCTTCTCCCTGTACACTGACTGTTGCACCTCCAGCCATGACTCAGTAAAACTTATTGAGTTTGTGGACGACACCACCCTCATCGGGCTCATCTCTGATGGTGATGAGTCTGCCTACAGGTGGGAGGTGGACCAGCTGGTGACCTGGTGCAGCAGCAACAACCTGGAGCTCAGTGCCCAGAAAACAATGCAGATGATTGGGGACTTCAGAAAGGCCACTGCCCCTCTGCCCCCCTCACCCTTAACGACACCCCCCATCACAAATGTTGACTGCTACAGGTTCCTCAGCAGCACCGTCACCAAGAACCTCAAGTGGGAGCCGACCATCAGTTCCCTCATCAAGAAGGCCCAGCAGAGGTTGCATTTCCTGCGACAGCTGAAGAAAGCTAAGCTGCCGGCCAGGCTGATGGTGCAATTCTGTACGGCCATCATCGAGTCCATCCTCAGCTCCTCCATCACGGTGTGGTATGCTGGGGCCACTGCCAGGTACAGACACAGACTGCAGTGCGTTGTGCACTCTGCTGAGAAGGTGATYGGCTGCAGCCTCCCATCTTTCCATGACCTGTACGTCTCCAGGACTGTCAGGCGAGCAGGTCGGATCACAGCTGACCCTTCTCACCCTGCACACAGTCTGTTCATACCATTCCCCTCAGGCAGAAGGTTTCGGACCTCTGTGCCCTTTCCTGGATCTGCTCTGGTATGGCGGGTGCCGGTGGGGCCCATGAGTTTGTCGCTGCTGACCCCGGGGGCTGTGCGTGTGGTCGCTGGGGGGACTCTCCCAGTTCTCCCCTATGGTCTGATCTGGGGGGTGGGTCGGCGGATCTTCCCGTGCAGGTACCCCTTGGGGCTCTGCGCTCGGGCTCCCTCTCGGGCCCTTGGGCTCTGGTCTTCCCTATGTCTGCCTCGTGTCTTGGGGGTTGGGTCTCGGTCCTGCACAGTCTCTATTAAATATTCCATTGGAGAAATCTTGTATATACACRCATGTTCACAACTGCTCACAAACAGGTGTTCTGATCCGGGGGTTCTGACTGGTCACTGAGTGTGTATATGTGTATGTGTGTATATACTGATAAAATTTATGAATGTGGGCATGTATGTATGTATATCTTTATATATGTATGGGTATGTGTATACTGTATATTTATACAGTATATGCCCTCCATGTATTTATCCATTTATTTTTCAGGTGAGCGGACAGATGTTGGGTGTGTGGTCCTGTGTTTTGTTGGTGTATATTTAATATACTTCTAATCGCTATTTCCATCTTTCTATTTTTCTAATCACTTCTCTCTCTCTGTTTTTCTCTTTGTCTCTATTTTCTCGTCACTTAAAAAAGTCACTGATGATGAAGAAAGAAATAAACTAAATAAACTAATATTTAGTTTCGTTTTCTACTGAAGTGACAAAAAAAGGCAGAAGGTTTCGGTCCATTCGGACCAGAAAATCCCGCCATAAGAACAGTTTCTTCTCCTCTGCCGTCGAACTCTTGAACATTTAGAACATTTAGAACATTTAGAACATTTAGAACATTTAGAACATTTAGAACACGTCACTCTATAACTCTGCCTTGGCCACTTTATCACTGGTTTCCTAAACAGCACAACTCTGACTATATTGTTTTTCTGGTCACTTTTATCACTGGATCTAACTGCACTACCCCAAATACTGTATATTGTCTACTGTGAATACTGTATTGAATTCTGTATTTTATTATATTTTTCTTTTATTCTTTGCGTTTTCTTCTTTTGATATATTTGATAGCTATTGCACCTTTACACTGAAGCAAATTCCTAGTCTGTGAATCCTGTTCATTGACAATGGCAATAAAACTGATTCTGATTCGGATGCTGCCACCTCCATGCTTCACTGTAGTGATCATTATTTTAGCTCTAATAATTTTAATTTTCTGACTTACGATGCTAGACATCTAAACTTTCAATGACTTCCAGTGTGTCTCAGCTCAGCATGTTTTCTTCAGAAATGAATCTGAAAAATGTTTTTACCCCAGTGAAACCATGTGGTAATAAATAAAAACCCTCTGTAGACATATAAACATCATTACTTCAGCCAATAATGAGTCAGTTTATAATACAACTTAGAGTTTCACAGTGTGTGAGGCTAATTTTTATTATTATTTTCTGTTTGCCAGTGGTTTTAGGAGTGCTGTCAGGGAGTGAGAGTATCAGGTGTGTTGATGCCATGGTGATCCAAGTGTTTAGTTGTCTTCGATTATTTCTGAAATGTAAAATCTTACAGAAGCTGATGGATGTTGGTCTGTTTCTACAGTTGTTGTCTTCTGTTCTTCAAAATTTCATCAGGAACTTTCTGGTTTAACATGTCTAAAATAAGGTAATAATGAAATTTTAGAAATAATGAAAACCAAACCTTTAGATTTATGTGGAACCTGATTTTATTTTGTGATTTGGTTCCTGGTGAGTAAAAAGAGCAGATGTGAGTTTGTGTGAGGAACAGGGAGGAGGGCTTGTATCTTATTGGCTGCAGGTTAATCCAATTTAGAGACGGATGTTGAGTTTCACCAACCCACACACACACACACACACACACGTACACACACACACACATGTTGACAACAGCAGCAGAATAATTCTCACGTGCACATTAATTGTCATGGAAACGTCACACAGAAAATAGATGGATCCACCTGAGTGATAATAAAACAAAGACAGGCAAAAAAACAAACCAAATGTTTTGGATGAAAAAACCTTCCTGGCTGTTGATTTCCAGATGAAGGATGCTGCATCCATCAAACGTGGCACACACAGGTTTGTTTTTATATGCCCGTGGGGACCGTGGATTGACTTCCATTCATTTTTTGGTCATTTTATATCCTAACCCTGATCATTTACCCTAAAATTAACCTCACATGTCCTCACCTGATCCTAAAACTAACCTAAACTCAATTCACACCTTGGTCCTAAAACCAACCCCACACCCAAAATTAACATCCGTACCCGTGGGGACCGGGCATTGATCCCCTTGATGCACATTCAGTCCCCACAAGGCTGCTTTTTTCTGTAAAACAGTTCCCATGATGTAGCAAAAACGTGACACACACACACACACACACACACAGAGATCTCCTGCCGTTAAAAAGGATACCTCCTGAACCTGAACGCTTCATGATGTCAGCCATGGCTCAAGTGAGTGGGTGGGGGATGATGCTTTGAATGGTGATGGGAAATGGGAGGAGGTGGAGGTGTTGTGAGGACCCTCTCTCAGCCTCCACACAGGGAGGAGGAGGAGGAGGAGGAGGAACAGTTTCTGTAACCACATGTTGCTGCAGCAGCCACCGTCTCCTCTCCTCGCTCTGCATGTGTACTTCCTGCCACCTGTGGCAGCACTCTTAGTCCCTCTATACAACAAAAAGCCAATAAAGAAAAAATAATCCTCAGAGCTTGGGGGGCGGATTTCTTTAATGACAAAAGGAATTGCAGAGAGAGAGATCTCCGCTGCTGTTGACACAAATGAAAGGTAAGAGAAAAATAAAAGTGCTTTTAACGTGCATGATCTTTGTTGAAAATGAGAAAAAGAAGGTCCGGCTGTGAGTTCATGAATAAAACTGGCTGTGATGTAAACGGATGGGCTCCAACAGGTGCTGAATGTTTGTCACAGGGCAGGGACTGAAACTGAAACTGTTTTTTTAATCTCAGAGGGTGTTAGGGTGATGTCCTCATTTAACACTCTGAACTAAAAGACTAAATGAAAGCAAAAGGATCTCTGAAAAAAAAAAACTTTTTCAGGATCACAGTCCTGTGGGAGGATCTGCATTTCTCTCTGTCTCAGTGATGGTGGTCAGTGTGTCGTCTTTCGCACTCGCTGCTGATGTTTTGTGGTCTAACTGGGCTTGGTTTTTGTTTTCTGTATAGAGAGATAAATCAAAGCATCCCTGTTTTCAGCTCAGTGTGTTGTGGTTTGGACACATGATGGCACTGTTGAGACAAACTACAATATCGACATTTTCATCTTCAAATTTTTCTTACCATGAAAACAAATCATGCTCCTAAAACCTGCSTCTGATTATTAAAAATGCATCACACTTATTACTGATGGTGAAGCGTATTTAGCTGTGCCTAAACATGTATTTTTATTTCCCCAAATGTTTCTTACTCTGTGTCAGGATACATATTTATTTTTTGGTGTTTCCAGAGCTTATTCTCAGAGACGTGTTGCTACTTTAGACATGTTTCTGGTCAGTATGCAGGTAAGCAGGCGAGCAGACCCGTCTCTATGGATATTGCTTTCGTCATTACACTTCCCATCAAGCTTGAGCTGGAGCTGTGCTCATGCAGAAGAGGCAGACGCTTGTCGACTTGTAACAGAGATCTTATGATTAATGTAGTAGGTATCGTCAGAAATTCAGACCCTGAACCAGCAGCTGGTTTTAACTCTTATAATCTATACAGGTGTTTTATTTATATACAGGTATCTGTCAGGATATTTAACCAACCAAGGGCTCCCCTCAGAGCATGGAAAATCTGTATTTCTTCAGTTGCTGCTGTGTTTTGGTGTCGTCACTTTTAATTTTTTATCACTGTGACCTTCACCTTTAAACACAACTCCAAAAACCTCCTTTTTGTTTTTCAGATCGAGGCCTCTCTGGCCTGTTTTGTGTTAATGACAATGTTATCACTTGTAACTCTCACCCTGGTAGTCTTGTCTGCAGGACTCAATTTGGAGAACAATACAAGTATTCAAACTGAAACGCCCTACCTCCCACTGACTTCACATGACTCAGGAACTATCTCTTGTGGTCCCCCGATCTCACTAACTGGTTCATTGGGACTTTCATTCTCAAAACAACAACCCCCGCTGATTTAAAAGCTTGRTGTCTCCTTGTAATAAAAAACTCCTTCATCCTCACTGAAGCAAAATCCCATGATCACGTGAGACAAAGAACAGTTACAGCTGGAGCACCTACCACTTTCAAATTGAAACCTTTATTTTGTATTGTTACTACCATTATCAAGTTTAGAACCGAATCCTGGTCCCCCACCGTTAAACTAGACGCAATAAAAATCTGGGCTCAATCCACTGAAGCAGATATAATAGTCTTATCAGAAACATGGCTCAGCAAAGTCATCTCAGACAAAGAAATTTCAATTCCTGGCTATAAAGTTTTTAGATGCGACCGCCCCAAAAGAGGTGGTGGAGTAGCTTTTTTATATCAAGAACAAATTCAGTGCAAAACAAATGTCTTCATGCTCTATTAGCAAACAGCTTGAACTACTGGCATTAGAACTAGAACTCTCTGATGGTCAGTCAATCACCGTGGTGGGTAGTTACCGAACCCCCTCAGCCTCCAGTGAAGCCCTCACATCCCTGAGCAATTTTCTGATGGGGCTAAATGCCAAGGAGCTACTTCTAATTGGTGATCTAAACCTGGACTGGTTGACCACTTCATCTGACAATCTTAAATCCGTCTGCGAATCATTTAATCTAACTCAACTAATTCAAGCATCTACGTGCCCTATAACAAAACCCTGAAAAATCAACCTTAATGGACCTTATTCTAACGAACATGCCTCACAAGTTCACTGACACTGGTGTATTTGCTAAYGACCTCAGTGATCACTGCACCATTGCAGCCATAAGAAACGGCAAACCATCAAAAATAAAACCCATCATAATCTTCAGAAGAGATCTAAAACATTTCTGTGAGCAAGCCTTTTTTCACGACTGAGCAACTTTAGACTGGAATAAAATTTCATTGATAGATGATGTTGAACTTGCACTGGAGTACTTTTATGCGGGATTTCAAAACATAATAAACACACATGCTCCATTCCGTAAATACAGAATAAAGGGCCATAAAAATCCTTGGTTTTCCCCTGAGATAGGAAACCTGCTCAAAGAAAGAGATGCTGCCTGGGCGAAAGCCAGAAAATCACATACCGAACGAAACTGGCTCATCTTCCGGCAGCTTAGGAACAAATGCACAACCCAAATTAGAAATGCTAAATCGAATTATTACCTGGACGAGTCCACCAAAAATCTGAATAATCCAAAACGGTTTTGGCAAACAGTAAAATCAAATTCTGGTCAGACAACAACTGATTTACCCAGCTCTATTAAGACCAGCTCAGGTATTCTATCAGACAAACCATCAATTCTCAACTTTTTTAATGAACACTTTATATCCTCGGGCTCACTGTTTGAATCTATGCACACCAAAATGTTATCTGCTAACCAAACTGATGCAAATCCACCCCAAACTCCATATGTGACAGAAAAACCAGTCACAAAACRCTTTGAGTTTGTACCAGTGCCTCCCACTGAGGTTTTAAATGCTCTAAAAACCCTTGACACACACACAAAGCAGCAGGACCTGATAACATAGAACCACTTTTCCTAAAACTAGCTGCTGACTTCATTGCTGAACACTTTCATACATTTTCAGTCTCAGTCTCAACACAAACACAATACCCAAAACCTGGAAAGCAGCTTGTGTTCTCCCTCTGCTAACAGGGGGTGAACCAACTGACGTTAACAACTACTGACCAATTTCTAAATTATGCATTCTTGCTAAATTGTTCGAAAGAATTGTCTGTGATCAGTTAACTGATTTCCTACAATCAAACAATATTTTAACACAATTTCAGTCAGGATTCAGAAAACAGCACAGCACCGTTACTACAGTTCTAAAAGTACTAAATGATCTCATTCATGCCCTGGACTGCAAACAGTACTGCGTTGCACTATTTATAGACCTGTCCAAGGCAATTGATACAGTTGATTATAGACTATTGACTGTCCAACAATTGACCTGTCCTGCAACACTCTTGTTTATCAAAACATGCAATCTCCTGGTTCACCAACTACCTAACTGGCTGAACACAGTCTGTTAATGTAGCCGGTTCCTCCTCTACTTTCTTAGTAATTGTCAAAGGCGTGCCACAGGGCTCCGTCTTGGGTCCCATTCTTTTCTCCTTATATATCAACGACCTGTGCAGCAATTTATCAAATGTCTCACATCATTATTACGCAGATGACACCATCATATATATTGCTGATCATCCTCCCTCAGCCAAGCATTTACCTTCCTTCAGGACGCTTTTATTATTATCCAATCACGTTTGCAAAAACTTAAACTGGTTTTAAATGCTGATAAAAGCAAGATCATGGTTTTAACCAACAGAAAACAACAATCAGAGAGCCAACAGCAAATCGTTACCCAACAGGGAAAACAAATAGAAATGGTCTCCACCTACAAATATCTAGGTTTCCACATTGACAGTGACCTTTCCTTCAAAACCCACATTTCAAAAATAGCCACTAGGCTCAAGCTAAAATTAAGTTTTTATTACAGAAACAAATCCTGCTTCTCATCCAAAGCCAGAAAACTACTAGTAGCTGCTACATTCATGCCAATATTAGACTATGGTGATGTGCTGTACATGAGTGCTGCATCAAAATACCTCCAGTCCTTAGACTCCATTTACCACAGTGCTCTTCGGTTCATTTCTGACTCCAGTTATTGCACTCATCACTGTGAGCTTTATGTCAAATCTGGCTGGTCATCTCTCAGCGCTCGCAGATACACTCACTGGATATCGATCATCTACAAGACCCTCCTAAACCTAGTCCCGTCTTACCTCACTGCCTTAATACAAACAACACACAGTCGTTACTCCCTGCGCTCTAACGATTTAGTCCTCCTGTTAGTTCCTCCAGTCAGAACGGAACTAGGAAAAAGAGTGTTCAGCTTTGCTGCCCCTTCAGCCTGGAACAATTTGCAGACAGATTTGAAACTGTCAACACTGATCTCTCTCAGATCCTTCATGTCAACCTTAGAAGAAAATGTTATCAAGAAACTTGACTATTGCAGATGCATCTAAATACGTATTACTTATCCAAAATTCATGTCATTGTTGATTTTCTACTGTATCTTATCAACTGATGTCTGCTTGTTTTTCCCAAACTTGTTTTAAGTCAAACAAATATTGTTGTTAATGCCTAATTTTTGAAATCTGTCTTATRTAGATGCTCTTGAAGTATCAACATTAATTCAAAGTGTTTGTACATTTCTTTATTTTCCTTTTGTTCTTTGTTGATCTTGATTGTCAATTATTATGTGACGTGTGCTGCTGACCTCTTGACCAGGTCACCCTTGAAAAGAGATTCTGATCTCAATGGGCTCTACCTGGTTAAATAAAGGTGACTGATTGATTCATTGATTGATAAGCAAATTTGACTTTTTGTGAAGCATTCTGTGTCAAACTGTTTTAATTTAGACTTTTTTCATAAATCTTTTCGTCCGTCCGTACGTTCTCTTCTGCTTGACCGAGATCAGGTCACGGGGGCAGCAGCCTAAGCAGAGAGACCCAGACTTCCCTCTCCCCAGCCACTTGGGCCAGCTCATCCGGGGGAATCCCAAGGCGTTCCCAAGCCAGCTGAGAAATATAGTCCCTCCAGCGTGTCCTGAGTCTTCCTCTGGTCCTTCTCCCAGTGGGATGTGCCCAGAACACCTCATCAAGGAGGCGTCCTTGAGGCATCCTAACTAGATGCCTGAGCCACCTCAACTGGCTCCTCTCTACATGGAGGAGCAGCAGCTCTACTCTGGGTCCCTCCTGGATGACTGAGCTTCTCACCCAATATCTATGGGAGAGCCCAGACACCCTGTGGAGGAAACGCATTTCAGCCACTTGTATCYGTGATCTTGTTCTTTTGGTCACTACCTAAAGCTTGTGACTATACAGTAGATGAGGGTAGGAACGTAGACCGAATGGTAAACCAAGAGCTTCGCCTTCTGGCTCAGCTCTCGCTTCACCACGATAGACCAGTACAGTGCCCGCATCACTGCAGACACAGCACCAATCTGTCTGTCGATCTCCTGCTCCATTCTTCCRTCATTCATGAACAAGACCCTAAGATACTTAAAGTGTAACTTACCCCCCTGTGAAAAGATAACTCCGCCCCAAGGCGAAATTTGAAAAATGCATCAAAGTGGGTAGGGGAGGGGGTGTGGGTAGGGGAAGGGGGGTTAGAGAGCGGAGGTGTGGCCAGGACGAGAGAACGTGACAGGCAGCTAGCATTAGCATAATTGATGCAACATGGAAAGTGACCACAGTATCGCAGACAGTTACATACATTTTGGATCTACCTCAGTAG